ATCGTATATAATTAAATTTATGTTATGTTGAGTTTGTACTGCATATAGGTCTTATTTCATAGGCCTTATAAATTGGGCTTGTTTACCACCCAAATCAATCAAATATTAAACTAAAACCTCTAATTCTATATCGATTTTACATTGGATTTGAAACCCGTCTCTAAAATTGTGGCTTGTCTAAGACCAAAATTAGCAAAATTTGACAGCAAATTAAACTGTATTTCTTACCATCCAAAATAACTGCGATCATCATGGCCTTGCACCGAGACTTTTGGCCCTTTCCAACATTTGGTCATATTGTATTATGAAAACAGATCCTTTTCAAGCATAATGAATGCTCTCTATTTCATTATCTCGATGATTTATGAAATCTTTTCCACTCTAATGCATTTGGGTGTGCAGAATATCTGTTCCCGTTGTTAGGTTTTCAGTCGTCATCTACCCTTTGGGAGGTAAGATTTTGGTGTGTCAGGATCAGTAATGGTAGTCTGATACTTCTCTTCCATTTTGTTATCTCTCCTTATATTGATCGTTTCATTCTACCCAGAGCCTTTAGGGTTTTATCCCTATTTTTCCAAAATCTAGTATATCTTTAAACCCTTGTTTTATCGGTAGGTGCTTTATACTGGGGTTTCTCTCCGCATCTCCCCATTTATACCTATCTTCTGGTTTTTGTCTTAACTAGTATACAACTATCTACAAATTTCCCCACTAGTCTTATTTTGATCCAGGTTGTCGTTTGCTTTGGTGAAACCTTTAGGTCATTTTCTTGGTCATTCCCTTTTGAATATCCTCTTTTAATACAATCTTTTATGGAGCGAGTAGGCATGCCACAGGAAAAGGGAGTCGAAAGTAAGCTCAAAGCAAACACAGAGTTACCTCAATTGAGCCTGATTGGTAAAATTATTTCTGATGTGAATCTCAATAAAAATGGGGTTTATAATGTTTTCTTGATTGCATGGAAGACTGTCAATGGTTTCTCTATTACCCATTGGGAGGGAAATATTTATTTGTTCAAATATAGGTCCGAAGCTGATAGAGAGAAAATATACTCAGAGGGCCTTGGTTAGTTATGGGAAATTTATTGGTGTTGAAGAAAAGTGCTCCTAATGCCACAATCTGAGATTATTATATTCAACTCAACAGAGTTTTGGGTGCAAATAGGGGAGCTTCCTTTTGATATGATGTCAAAGAATAATTCCTGGATTGGGAAGTTTTTGTGACACACCTACACAGTTGGATAATTCCAAGGACGATTTGATGCTCCATCGCAATTACTTGAGGATTAAATGTGAGATTGATTTCACGGAACCGCTGAAAAGAGGTTTCCTTCTAACCAGGGAGAACCTGCACGATACATGGATTCAGTTCTGGTATGAAAGGCTCCCAAATTTCTGCTATCAGTGTGTTGCATTGGTCATTACAAGAATGCCTACCCGCACAGAAAGGAGGGGGAGTCATTTGAGTATAGCCCAGAACTATGGGCTCATTCACCTCAGGGGCTAGTTGTCTTTAGAAGTGGTGGAGTTCAGCTGCCAAAAAAAGGGGATGGGAGACTGGAGGAGGATTAAACAAGCTAGCATGGATGCAAGGTTTAGAGGGGTATTGGAGAAGTGGGGGGGGGGGTACAAGGGAAAGATGCCCCACCAATGTTAACGGTCAGGAATGTAGCAACAAGGTACTAGCCCGTACAGTTGATGTCCCACCGGAATCTGATTGTCAACAGCCAATCCCCCTACAACATGTGGCTTGGTAACAAAATCCCATGACTTAAGTGTATGCCATATTTGAAAAGTCTTGTCCCCATCGTCCAAACATTGTCTTCCTTATGGAGACAAAAAATAAGAAGACAAAGTTGGAAAGAATTCGTAGATCTTTGCATTTAGACACAGTTTTTATGTGGATCCTTTGGGGTTAGCAGGAGGGCTGACTTTATGGTGGAGCGACGATGTCCAGTTAGATATCGAGTATAGTAACAGGAATTTGATTAATGCGCTGTGTTCAACAAGCAACCCCCCTTGTTTGTGGCAAACATCCTTCATTTACGCTGAGTCTGAGTTTCATCAAAGGCAGAAACTTTGGAGGGAGCTCAGAAGCCTGGTGTGGCTAAGGATTACCCATGGTTGATTGTTGGCGATTTTAATATTATTGGGTCTGTGTGGGACAAACGAGGCTATAAATTGGAAGTACAAGGTCAATTGAGGAGCTCCTGGGTCTTATTTCGGATTGTGGTGTGATGGAACTCGATTTTAAGGGACAAAATTTCACTTGGTCAAATAACAGGGACGAGGGGGCTAATGTTCAGGAAATATTAGACCGTGTGTTGGTAAACCCACAGTGGAGAGACTTGTTTCCTATAACTCTCACCCTCCATGAACCGAGAATCGGCTCTGATCACTGCCCCACTCATTTTCATTTTTCAATTCGAAGCGTAAAAAAATCCCTTTACCTTTAAGTTTGAGGGCAATGTGGTTGGAATCTGAAAAGTGTGCTGAGACAGTGAACAAATTTTTGGGTATCGGTTCAAGCGATAGGAGTTTGGAATCTTTTCAAGCAAAACTTCAGGGTGCAGTTCCAAATTATATGGCTGGAGTAGAGAAGAATTCAGCAATAACAGAAAAATGTTGTCAGACTTGAAGCATGCCTTTGAAGAGATCCAGAAAAGGGAGCCTACTAGACAAAACAAAACACCTTTTAAAAGGAAAAGGAGATCACGTCTCAGATGGAACTTTATGGCAAAGAAAGAACTTTATTGGCTATAATGGTCTAGGATTAATTGGCTAAGGGAGGGTGATCAAAATACAAAGCCCTTTCATCTTTTTACAATTCAAAGACAACAATGAAACCAGATTGTGAGGCTGAAAGTAGAGAATGGGTGAATGGATTGAAAGTGAAGAGGAGATGAATCAACATATCAGGGATCATTTTAAAAATCTCTTCAAAGCCTCGAATCCAAGGGACTTTGGGATGGATTTTCGGATGTTATTATTACTTTTGTTTCACAGAGTGAATGAGGCCTTTCTTTGCCCAGTGTTTGATGATGAGATCAAAATGGCCACTATGATGTAGGGGGCACTTAAGGCTCCAGGTCCTGATAGTTATTTGGGGGTGTTTTACTAGAAATTTTGGAATATAATTGGGTCGAATGTTTGTGGGGCAATTAGGAATTTTTTCGAAGAAGGGAATATGTCATAGAAGGTTAATAAGACAAACTTCGTCTTAATTCCGAAGGAAGCCTACCCAGGAAGCCTCTCTCAATTTTTGGCCTATAGCATTGTGTAACTTTGTGTATAAAATTGCCCCGAAGGTGCTGGCTAATCGGCTAAAGAAAATTCTCCATCAACTAGTGACACCAAATCAAGCTGCCTTTGTTCCCCAACGTCACATTCAAGACAACATTATAGTTGCTAACAAAGCTTTCATGCACTGAAGATTAATAAAAGAGGCAAATTTTTCATCCATGGCCATCAAGCTTGATCTTAATAAAGCCTATGATTGGGTTTGAATGGGACTTATTGGAAGCTATCTTGCCAAAAAATGGGGTTTTATCAGAGATGGATTAATCTTATTATACAATATATTCGTATAGATCAAATTTGAGGTGATCATTAACAGGGAATCTAGGGGCGAGGTGAATCCTCATCGGGGCTTAGGCAGGGTGACCTACTATCCCCTTATCTCTTTCTCTTGGTTGCTGATGTTCTCTCAAGGATGGTCCAGAAAGAGGTATTGGAGAGGTCAATCAAACTTGGAGAATATGTCAGCGAAGCCCTATACATCTCATTTGTTTTTTGCTGATGTTCTTTCTTTTTCCTCAGGGCCTGCGAACAGGATGGGACTAGACTGAAGATGATCCTACAGAGGTATTGCGAGGCAGCAGGCCAACTTATCAATCTCAATAAGTCTAGAATTCTTTTTTCTTCAAACACACCAGAGGACCGGAGGAGAACCATGAGTCAGTTGATGGAAATCAAAGCTCTTCCAGTCAATACTAAATATCTGGGCCTACCAACCATGTGGGGGAAGATCAAAAGCCGAAACTATCAACTATTTATTAGAGAGGCTCATGAAGAAAATTCAGGGATAGAAGAAAGTCTACCTTTCCCAGGCGGGAAAGAGGTTTTGATTAAATCATTCGTCCAAGCTATTCCCAGCTTTGTTATGTCGTGTTTAGTTTTCCCACAAATTTGTGTGATAAATTGAATCAGTGTGTTCGATGTTTCTGGTGGGGTCGAAATTCGGAGACCAATGGTATCCCATGGAAATGCTGGGTTGTTTTGACAGCTCCTAAAGTGTTGGTGGGCATGGGTTTTAGAGACTTCCATTGTTTCAATTTGGCATTGTTGGCTAAGCAGTCTTGGCGATTATTACAGAATCTAAATTCCTTTTGGGCTTGTATTCTGACAGCGATATATTTTCCTAATTCGGATTTCATGGTGGCTAGAAAAGGAGTAAGATCGTCTTGAATGTGGAGCAGCCTTTTAAGGGAAGAGAACTGTTGGCTAGAGGTATTAGATGGTAGGTAGGTAATGGGAAACATATTAAGTTTTGGAATGATAGATGGATCCCGTATTTATCTGGTTTCTCAGTTTTCTCGCCCAAGCCCCAGAACTGTAACATTGAGTATTTAATGGATGCAATAAATCAGACATCAAAGGATTGGGACTTTGACTCTCTATGGAAGCTTACCAATATTGAGGAATATTGTGCTATCACAGCTATTCCGGTCTCGAAAGTGAAGGGGTTGGATAAGAGGATATAGCATTTCGATGCGAGGGGTCGCTATACAGTTAAATCAGGCTACAAGGAGGCTAGGATAATGAAGAATTCTATAGTGAATCAGAGTTGTTGTTCTTCCTCTCACCTTCACCCTAATCTGTGGAACATTATTTGGAGCCTGAAAACATAAACCAAGGTAAGACACTTTTGGTGGAGGGTTTGCTCAGACGTTCTCGCCACGAAGGAGAATCTCTTTAGAAGAAAATGTGGCTCCTCCCCACTTTGCTAGATTTGTGGAAATAAGGTTGAAAGAACAGAACACTTTTTATTTGGTTGTGAATGGACACACAAGGTTTGGTTTGGATTAGCGAAATTTTGGACATCTTATTTAGTGAAGAATTTGAACACATTACACCAAGCGGTGGAGGTTCTTAGCAAGGTGGCGATTATTTGGTGGTCCATTTGGAGGATGAGGAATGATGATGTTTTTCATTCGGCTCCTCCCAATCCAACAGTCGCACTAAAAAGGGCACGGTTCGATTGGGATGAGTCCTCTTCTCTCCACTCTATTCGGATCCAGTAGTACCATTCCCCTCCTTTGGAATATACAGCGTGGATGGTTGGTTTAGACCTTCCATTGGCCTGGTCATGGCAAATTGTGATGGTGTTTTTAATATAAAGTTGAAGAAATTAGCAATAGGTGTGGTTATTAGGGATCATAAAGAGGTAATTTTAGATGGTTTAGCAATGCAGTCTCCTTTTGTTTCTAGTCTGTATTCAGAAGTATTGGCCTTGCATGAAGCATGCATGCGACTTTCAGCATTATAGAGGAATGAGGCAATAGTGGTAAGTGATTCTCATGTTCTGATCTCATTGTGTACTGGTGAAAAAGCTCCACCTTGGGAGATTGCAGCTTTGGTGGATGATATCAAACTGATTTCTCACAGTCTTAGACTCAGGTTGGTATATTATCCTCGTAATTCTAACAAGGCAGCCTATTGGGTGGCCAAAGCGAAGTTGTCCTCTTCTGTCTCAAATGACTGGGTTTTTAACCCACCCGCGGAGTTGGGACACATCCTTTCTTATGACTGTATGTATGATCAGTTTTCTTAATAAAATGTTTCTTTCCAGTTCAAAAAAAAAAACACTAATTAGAATACAACTTTGGGCTCTGGATTATGATTTACTTGCATCTAACAAGTAGATTATTTATAGGTAAGGAAGGGTTTTGGCATAATGGTAAGGTTGTTTTATTACGATTTGGAGGTCACGGGTTCGAATCGTAAAAATAGTTTCTCTGTTTATAGGGATAAATTTACGTATATTTAACCTTCTCCAGATCCTTAATTCCTTAAATAAAGAAAGTCTCGTACACTAAATATGTCTTTTTAAGTAGATTATTCATACCTTCGGCCTCTTGATACTGCAGAAGTGATAAGACACCCAAGAAACCATGGTGATTTTTAGAGGCTCTCAACTAAGAAACGTAGCTTGAGAAAGGTATAGTTATGAGTAATGAGAATGCTATGGGAGTTATTTCCTAACTCCTCTCTTTTTATAGGAGATGGGTGTTGGGTGAGGAGGGTGGGTATGGCATTTTCAACACGCATAATGGACACGAAGCTGTGTGTTTGGATATTGTTTACCCAACCGACGCTAATTTAGATTGAAAAAATTAAGATTAATTGTCTTAGAGGTTCAAAAAGTATGAGATTTGTCTCATTTTGATCTCTAATATTTTAATTATATCATTTTGGTCTCTGAAATATTGAATATCTATATAATAAAGTAGCTTACAATTCAAATCTCAACAGAAAAACAAAATAACTCTTACTATTCGCGGTTGAAATCGCTTTAAATTTTACTTTAAAGTTAATCTAACGGTTACTATTAACGCCCTAAATTTAATAGGAAAAATAGGCCTCTAAGGTGTGTTAGTAGTGTCTTTTTAAAAGTACTTTTAAAAATTATTTCTCATAAGTACTTAAAAAAAAGTGTTTGAAACCATCCCACCACTACCTCTACTACCACCACTAGCGCGGTTGCTGTCGCCACCGCCAACGCCACCAGCGCTGCCGCCACCGTCGTCGTCATCACCACCGCCACAATCGTGGCCGCCGCCACAACCGTCGTCACCGCCACCACCACCACTGCCTCCACCCCCACGGCCACTGCCACCCCACCACCACCGCCACCACTACCACTATCACCACCGACACCACCACCACCACCGCCACCACCTCCACTATCGCTACCCCCACTATCACCACCACCACCACCGCTGTCCACCACTACCACCCCCACCGTCACCGCCACCCCTACAACCATAGCCACTGTTGCCCTCACCCCCACCATCAGTGCCTCCACCACTGCCACCGTCACAGCCACCACCACCACCACCACTGCCACCATCGCCATCGCCGACGCCACCACCACCACCCCCACTAGCACTGCCGCCACCAGCACCGTCGCCACCATTACCACCGCCACCGCCATTGCCACCCCCACCACTATTGCCATTACCACCCTCACCCCCACCATCACCACCTCTATCACCGCCACCCCCACCTCCCATCGCTACCACCACCATCGCCGCTGCCACCACCACCACCACCACCACCGTTGTCGTCGTCGCCCTCACCGCCACCAACACCACCACAGTCATTATCATCCACCACAACCATCATAATCTCCTATCACAACCACTACCGCCCATCACCTCTCACCCCTATTACAAATCGATGTTTAAATTATTTTATTTGTTCTCGATGTTTGTGATTTGATTTTAGATATGAATAAAAATATGTTTATTGTTTACCATTTTTTATTACTCTGTACCTTCAGACACAGACAATAACTAGTCTAAATAATAAAGTAATTTACAATTCAAATTCCAAAAGATAAACAAAATGACTTTTTGATTTTTACGGTTTAGATCGCTTTAAATTTTACTTTAAAGTTAATCTAACGGCTAATATTAATACTATAAATTTAATAGGAAAAATAGAACCCTAAGGGTGTGTTTGGAATAACTTTTTAAAAGTACTTCTAAAAATTATTTCTCATAAGTACTTTAAAAAAAATAGTGTTTGAAACCGCCATACTACTACCTCTATCCCCACCACCACCACCGCTGCCACCATCACCATCGCCACCGCCCTCGACATCGCCACCACCACCACCACCGCTATTGCTGCCATCGTTACCGCTACCACCACCATCAACACCAACGTCGTCACGAGCTACCACCATCATCGCCGCCGCCACCGCCCCCACCACTATCGTCGTCGTTGCCGCCACCACCACGATCATTGTCGCCGTTGCCTCCACCACCATCACCATCGTCGCCACCACCACCACCATCACCGCCACAGTCATTGTCATCCGCCATAGTCATTGTCACCCACCACAACTATCATTGTCTCTTACGACCATCACTGTCGCCCACCACTTCTTACCCCCATTATAATCGATATTTAAATTCATTTATTTTTCCTCTATGTTTGTGATTTGATTTTGGATATGAACACAAATATATTTATTGTTTACCATTTTTTATTACTCTGTGTCTTCAATCACAGACAATAACTAATTTTTCTATATGGTCTCTCAAGGAAACAACATCTAGATTATTAATAATTTTTAATTCTAAACTTGTTATGTAATACCTAAATATGAATAAAAAAATATTTAAATAACTCCTTACTAAATTTTTACCAAAATTTTGGTCAAAGAGTTATTCAAATAACACACTTTTGATTATGAACTATCTAAATTTTGGTCAATTACACATTTTTTTTGTCAAAAGTTATCTAAATTATTTTTTGTCTATATTTAGGTATCACATGAGAAGTTTATGATCAAAAATCGTTAACAATGAATATTGTTTACTTGAGGACCACATAAAATATATTTAATATGTCAAAGATCAAAATAATACAATTGAAATATTGAAGACTAAAATAAAATAAATTTTATACTTTAGGAACCTTCAGTGCAATTAATTCAAAAAATTACAAAGAAAGGGCTTTGAGAAGATGCAAAGAACCATCCTCCGCTTCTAGGAGATGGGTTGGTGAATTAACGTGTAAAAGACTATAAGAAGATACAAATTATGAACCATCCTCGTCTTTCCATACGAGTAATTATAATTCATTTGGAGCTTATTTTCACTCTCGGTTGCCTTCATTTCATCACGTCAACTGCACAGACGGCCATAATCTCGGCAAAGCCAATCTTCTTCCTCAGCAACTTGGTGAGCTTCACGGGGTCGGTTTCGTGTCCGACCACCTCTAACTCATTTTTTTCTGGTCCCTCCAATGATGCAGACTTCACCCCTGAAGAAAACACATATATGATTTGTATCACACAATTAGTTGTCTTATTCAAATTACACAATCACCGAATTTGATCAAATTTCTATACCCCTTTTATAAACGAGTTACCTCTTAGCAACGTGTGGCTGAGTTTGAATAAATTCGTGTCTACAACCACTTCTAATTTTATCGTCCAATAATTTATTTATTTATTTTTCGAAAGAGTTCAACAAGAGGACTTTCTAAGGGATTATCTATTTTAATAGTATTCTCACTCAAACATGTTGGGAAATTTTGATAAAATCTAGTGCATTAGTGCTGATATAATTGCAAACATTGTCAAATAAACTTTATTTGGATGGATCATTGACTTCTCTTTCCCTCCCTTCTCGAATAGATGTTTTTGAAAAAAACTCTTTTCTAAAAGATTTACAAAATAAGCTTTTAGGGTTTTTATTTTAGGCTATACTAAATAGACTCTCAAAAAATTTTTGTCGAAAAATGACAATTTTGGGATTGATTATTAAACTTATGTTTTAATTTTTACAAATTGTTAAAAAATTGAGCTCGATGTTGGCCGAGATGCTTGCAAGTTTTTTTTTCATCCAAGTTGAGTAAGAATTTAAACTTTCTAATTATACGTCAATTTTGCACCGGGATTTGGAACTCATCTCCAAAATTGTGGCTTGTCTAATGCCAAAATTTGACGGCAAATTAAACAGTATTTCTTACCATCTAAACTAACTGCGATCATAATGGCTTTGCGCCGAGACTTTTGGTCTGTCTGTGGCAACTTTTTGAACAAGGGTGCCCATAAACCACACAAGCCACTCACACTGGGCAATTGATGACCAGGTGAGGGCAGTGACAAGTTAATCGCCAACTTCCGCAGCAGCAAACTAAACAAATAAAATACTAATTAGAATACAACTTTGGGCTCTGGATTATGATTTACTTGCATCTAACAAGTAGATTATTTATACCTTCATCGTCTTGGTACGGCGGAAGTGATAAAACTCCCAATTAACCATCGTGTTTTTAGAGGCCCTCAACTAAGCAACGTAGCTTGAGAAAGGTTTAGTTATGTCCGAATCACCTTTTATAGGACATGGGTGTTGGGTGAGAGGGGTAGGTATGGCATTTTCGACGTGCGAAATTGAGGGTGGTAATTGAGCTGAATTCGAATTTAATTTACACATAAACGAGCTGATTCATTTAATTATTTACACATAAACGAGCTTAAAAAAATGTTCAAGATTGACTCGTTTACCAGCTCTACGTGGAATGGACACGAAGTTGTGTTTGGATATTGCTCACACGACCGACACAAAGTTAGATTGAAAAATTTAGAATTAATTGAATTGGAAGTTTTCAAAGTATGATATTTATCTCATTTAAATCACTAATATTTCAATGGTATCATTTTGATCCTAAAATATTTAATATAATTCTATGTGGTCCCTCAGGGAAACAACATCCAAATTATTAACGATTTTTAATTATAAACTTGTCACATAATACTTAAATATAGATAAAAAAATAATTTGAATAATTTTTGACTAAATTTCTATTCAAATTTTGGTTAAAGAACTACTCAAATTACACAGTTTTGATCATGAGCTATCAAAATTTTAGTCAAAATTATCCATATTACACGTCAATATTTAGGTATCACGTAACAAATTTATGTTAAAAAATCGTTAATAATATAAATATTATCTGTTTGAGGGACTATATAGAAATACTAGTTATTGTCTATGCCTGAAGGCAGAAAGTAATAAAAAAAATGGTAAATAATAAATATATTTATATTCATATCTAAAATCAAATCATAAACATAAAAGAAAGAAAAAAAAATTTAAGCACCAATTATAATGAGAGTGAGCAGTGGTAGTGAGAGTGAGCAGGTGACGGCAATGGGAATGGTGGTGATGGTCGTGGAGATAGGGGGTGGGGTAGTAGGGGGTAGTGGTGGTAGAACAACGATGATGGTGGTGGGGTAGAGGTGATCGTAGTGGTGGTGGTGGTGTGGTGGTGATGGAGTGGCGGTGACAGTGGGGGTGGTGGTGGTATGGTGGCAACAGTGGTGGTGGTTATTGTTATGGCAGAGGGGTGGCGGCGACGGTTGTAGTGGTGGTGGTGGGACGGTTTCAAAATTTATTTATTTTTTAAAGTACGGATAAGAAATTATAAGTTCTAAAAACACTTTAAAAAAATTATTCCAAATACACACTTATGAGTCTCTTTTTTCTATTAAATTTGGGGTGTTAATATTAACCGTCAGATTAATTTTAAATTAAAATTTAAAGTCATCTCTACCACGAAAAATAAAAGTCATTTTATTTATCTTTTGA